TAAATTTGAATAACCAACAGGTTGCTATCAATGGTTTTAGTGAAAAGAGTATTGTCAATTTTTCCTCTAACAAAACCATTAGCAAGTAAGAAACCACTTAATTTTTCATACCAAGCTCTTGGAGCTTGTTTCAAACCATACAAAGCTTTTGATAATTTGTAAACATGGTTTGGATAAATGTAGCTTTCAAAGCCCGGCGGTTGTTCTACATATACTTCTTCTTCAATGAATCCATTTAAGAAAGCACTTTTTACATCCATTTGGTATAACTTAAAGTTTTTGTGGGATGCAAAAGCAAGGAGCATTCTTATAGCTTCAAGTCTAGCTACGGGGGAAAAGGTCTCCTCAAAATCAATTCCTTCTTCTTGATTATAGCCTTGCGCAACAAGCCGTGCCTTGTTTCTCATAATTATTCCCGATTCATCCTTTTTGTTCCTAAATACCCATTTTGTGCCAATGATATTTTTATCTTTAGGCTTTGGAACCAAATGCCAGACTTTATTCCTTTCAAATTGGTTAAGTTCTTCTTGCATGGCCAAGAGCCAAGATTCATCATTTTCGGCTTCATGAATATTTTTTGGTTCAAGTTGGGAAACAAAAGCCACATAATTGCAGATGTTGCTCGTTTGAGACCTAGTGCTTATTCCTTTAGATGGATCGCCAATGATTTGATTTATCGGATGATTAGGCACTTGCTTCCAAGCCTTAGGAAGAGTGTCTTTATGAGAGAGACTTTCTTTTAGAACATCTTTGGAGCTATCTTCAAGAGAAGAACCATTTAAATCAAGATTTTCAATATTATTTCAATCTCAATCACATCTTCATTATCATCTAATGAACGTCTAAGAGGGGGTAATGGTGATTCATCAAATACAACATGTATTGATTCCACAACCACTCGTGTTCTTTTGTTAAACACTCTAAATGCTTTGCTACGAGAAGAATATCCTAGAAAAATACCTTCATCCGATTTAGGTTCAAATTTTCCTAGATTATCTTTGTCATTTAACACGAAGCATTTACACCCAAAGACTTTAAAGTATCCAATGTTTGGCTTTCTTTTGTTCCAAAGATCATAAGGAGTCTTATTAAGGAGTTTTCTAATAATGACTCTATTTATAACATAGCATGAGGTGCTAACGGCTTCGGCCCATAGAGATCTAGGAGAATTATGTTCATTTAACATAGTCCTAGCCATTTCTTAGAGAGACCTATTTTTTCTTTCAACAACTCCATTTTGTTGAGGAGTCCTAGGAGCTAAAAGATTATGATTGTATCCATTGTCATCACAAAATCTTTCCACATCTTGGTTGTCGAACTCTCTACCTCTATCACTTCTAATGGACTTAATTTTACATTCTCTAAAAGCATCTAGCAAATAGTTGTGTGCATCAACCAATTCATCATAAGTAGTTTCCAAATCAAATGAGTTATGATTAGAATTTACCTCATCTTCATCGGCCATGAGACAAAGATTAACCAATTCATTTAGTTCATCGTCACTTTCGGATCCATTTGAATCATCGTCCTCCCATGTAGCTTGCAAGGCTTTGCCTTTCTTTTTCCTTTCCTTTTCATTTTTGTAGGCGTAGCAATCGGACTTGAAGTGCCCCGGTTTTCCATAATGGAAGCAAGTAGGTGCTTCTCTTTTTCCTTGCTCACTAGACGACCCATTTCTTTTGAAGTGGTTGCTCTTTTGGAACTTCTTCATTTGAAGAATTCTTCTTACGGTTTTGGTAATGAGAGCAACTTCTTCATCTTCTTCATCATGAGGAACTTTATCAATTGTAACTTCTTTGGTAGTAGCTTGTAGAGCTATATCCTTCTTTTAAGTTTCTTCATCTCTATCATTCATTTCTAGCTCGTAAGCCATTAATGAACCAATAAGTTCGTCAATGGGAAGTGTGTTAAGATCTTTGGCTTCTTGGATGGTGGTCTTCTTAGCTTCCCAATTCTTTGGCAAAGATCTAAGGATTTTTCTTACATTGTCGGATGATGTATATTTTCTTCCAAGAGCTTTCAAGGGATTAACAATGTTAGTAAAACGAGAGTACATTTCACTAATAGTTTCTTTGTTATTCATGGTAAAAAGTTCATATTTATGGACAAGCATATTCATTTTGGATTCTTTAACATGACTAGTGCCTATATAGGTAACTTCAAGTTTATCCCAAATTTCTTTGGCCGTTTCGCAATCCGAAATTCTATTGAATTCGTCTTTGCTTAAGGCACAATAGAGATTAGTGATAGCCTTGACATTACATTGTACAAGCCTACGGTCATTGAGGGTCCATTCAATATCGGGTGTTCGAACATTTTCACCTTTTACTATCTTGGTTGGAACATGGTCTCCTTTTTCTATGGCTTTCCAAACATCTACATCTATGCCTCTTAAGAATGCTCTCATTTTGATTTTCCAATAGTTGTAGTCACTTCCATCAAACCAAGGGGGTCTATTGTTAGATTGACCTTCTTGATGGAAAAGTGCATTGGCCATGATCGTTCTCTAAGATGATTAGTCTTTTTCTAGAGATTAGGCTCTGATACCAATTGTTAGTCACTAATTGACTCTAGAGGGGGGGTGAATAGAGTCAAGGAGCAATTTTTTCAATTTAAAATTATATTTCTACCAAACTGTTGAATATCAGTTTATTAAAATATTCAAGCAAAATAAAGCACAAAAATAAGAGAGATAGAGATAAGAGATTACAAACAATGACTCGGTGATTTAGCGAGGTTCGGAAACTCCTACTACTCGGCTCAAGATCCCCCTTGAGACTTCCCAAATTCACTAGAGCTTCTCCTTAATGGTGGAGAGCAAACCTTCACTTTTGAAACAAGATCTTGCTTCTCTTCTTTGCTAGGAGAACACCCTTCTCCTAGGCTTTCTTTTGGGTTACACCAACCCTTTACAATAGCTTTGAAATTTGAAGAAACAAGTGTACAAGAATCTCTCAAAGATAGATTACAGAGTTTAGCTCACAACTATAGAAAAGATGAATATACGTGAAGCTCAGAATTACTACAATGATATGAAATAACAGAGAGGGAATGAAAGCTCAGAAAACTTCTTTAATGCTTTTCAAGGAATGATAGAATGTTCTCTGTTAAAAAAGGATCATTTAGTTTGAAGACCAACCTCAGTATTTATAGAATAAATAGAGTTCAATATAGCTGTTAGAGGTTGTTGAGAACATTTAATGAAAATATTTACGTTACAGTTCAAAACCCTAAAGAGAGCCGTCTCTTGAAAACCAAAGAGCCTGCTCTTTGTTCATTTTCCTTGGAAAGAGCCTGCTCAATAAAAACGTGAGCCTACTCTTTCTTTTGAAGATCCATTTTCGTAGCTTTCTTGGAACAAAAAGAGCCCTCTCTTTCTTTTGATTGAGCCCTCTCTTTTTCTTAAATACTTCTCAAAGACTTACTGGAGTTAAAGAAAAGAATCTTCTCAGAGCTCACTAAATAAGAGAAAAGAGCCTTCTCTTTATTTTATGGAGCCTTCTCCATCTCACATTATGATACTTAATATGAAATTCTTTAAGTCCTGTGAATGTGATCATGAGCTGATTTTATTTTCTTTGAGAAATAAAATGGGAATGCAATGCATGGATTGAATTTTGAGCTTCAAATATATTCAAATTAACTTTGACATTAAATCTTAAGCTCTCACCATCTAATCTACCCTTTTCTTCAATCTTTGACCATGATCGGTTAGCCTTTGATGGAGTACTTGAATAATCTTTGAATTCTTGCAACTTTAATGCTTCCTTGAATCCATTGCTTGAGTACTTGGAATGCTTCTGGCTCAATATTGAGGATTGAATTAATTGATCAACTATATAGCACTCAAGGAAAATATTAGTATATAAACATCATTAATGGTTTGTAATCATCATAATATAAGATTGACCTTTAGATTAAATCCTTAGGCCAACATTATCCTTTTTTGAAACATCGCTTCCGCAATTATTTTCTTTGGGTTTTGAGATCTCATTGAGGGTCACATTGTTGTCTTATAGACATGTAGTATCTCTAGAGACCATTAATTTACCTTTTGTATCCGCATTCTGATTCATTGTTGGATTTACGTTTGGGTCACCGCTGATGCACCGGGTTAAATAAAAACTTGGGTCGTTACAAGTGGTATCAGAGCCCCTAGGTTCGAAAATCTTTGGATGACGAGTTTTGGGTGCATATCATGCTTTTGTTGATCTACCTTGATGTATTCACATGCTTTTGATAGCATGTTTACGTGCCTTTTGATAACATGCTCGGTATAATGACATGTCTTCTGTACTTATATGTTTATGTGTTCAAAAAGCATCCTTGTTTGACATGTATGCTTATTTACTTGAGTCCTTAGTTGTTTAAAGAGCTTTCTTTGATTGTTTTAGCATGACCGTATGTTGCTTACCTTTTCTTGCTTCAAGTTACATGCTTTTATAGTGTGAGTTGCACTCGGTCATAATAGTTTATGTTATTGTTGACCTCTTTCTTCGCGTACATTTAGCATCATGGTTGTCACGTGTGGAGAGTCTTCACGTCAAGGTGTTGAGGAACAGGTGGATGACACTGAGTTTACGAGGGGTCTGGGAAGGCCTAGGATTCTAGTTTGTGGCATGGATCCTAATCCACCACGAGCGTCGACTTGTGAGGAGCATATTGCACAGGGAGTGGCTTTGAGGATGTCAGAGTCCATTTAGCAGATGTTTCATCAGCATATTGCAGGGATGCAAATTTCGGTACTGGTACCAGCACCGGCACCAGTTGCTAATGAGGCATTGGACTACTTTATGAAATTATACCGGGTTAAGATCGACCAATTTGCAGGGAGTATGAATCCACTTACTTCAGAAGCATGGTTTGATCTCATGGTACGCAAGTTTGATAGCATGGCAGTACCTACAAATTGATTGAGGATCTCCTTGACAGCCTCTATGTTCATGGGAGACGCCGATATCTGGTGGAGGTCTATGACCAATATCCACGATGTGGAGGTGATGACTTTGGAGGAGTTCAAGACATTATTCTTCGACTGTTTCTTTCTGAGGGCTATGAGGCAGAATATGAGAGTGTATTTTACAGGTCTCTATCAGGGCATGATGAGTGTCATTGAGTACGAGACGCGCTTCACTTCTCTTTCCCGCTATGCACTGGAGATGGTAGCTACCGATGAGCTTAGGGCAAGAAAGTTTCAGGATGGATTACATCTTGATATTAGGCAATGGATTTCAGTATTAGATTTGAGGACCTACGGAGTGGTGTTCCAGAAAGCTACGTTGGTTGAGGCAGAGGACCGAGATCAGCTCAGGATCAAGGGCTCATATAAGCAGTCTCATAAAGAGGCTTCATTGGTATCAGTTGGGGATCAATGGAAGAAGGCTAAGGCCGAGGACAGTTCTCGTGTTCAGGGACAGTTACAGCAGGCTCAGTCTGTACCCACAGTTCCTATTCCTTTGGGGAAGTTGATTTGTCACCACTATCAGCAGCCAGGGCACATAAAGCCTCGCTGCCCACAGTTGCAACCTCAGGGTAGTCGTTCTCAGATAGGTAAGTCTTCAACTTCGATGCAGGGCTCCAGGGAGCTTGTAATTACTGTAAGCAGCCTGAATATTTTAAGACGGAGTGTCCACGCCTATAAAATAGAGCATAGGGTGGCACTGGTTCACAGGCCATACCAGCACAGTCTACAGTTGTTCAGTCTGGTTTTAGGGTGCCTCAGGCACCACAGCCAGTGGCGTCGTTAGTGGCTTCTTATCCGGGTAGAGGTTCTACGCCTACTGCTTCCAGACATCAGTCGGGCCACTAGGGTAGTTCTCAGCAGTCAGAGGCTCCAGGACGAGCTTACGCATTGCCACAGGCCGATACCTCTGCAGGGACTTCTACAGTTCGAGGTATCTTTCCAGTTTTTAATTCTTGGGCTAGAGTTCTTGTTAACACGGGTGTGTCACATTCATTCATTTCTACTTCATTTGCACATTCTTTAGGTCTAGAGGTCACGTAATGGGATGGTTTCCTTTGTGTTAACACACCAGTTGGGGTCCAGTGTTTTTAGACCTTGTTTGTCGAGGTTGTGCTATTGAGATAGCTGGGCAGATTTTAGAGTTCGATTTCATTATTTTTGACATGACGGGCTATGATGTCATTCTCGGAATGGACTGGTTGTCTTTCTTTTGTGCCACGATCAATTGCTTCCATGGGCGAGTGTCTGTTCGCACTCCCACGGGAGAATGTTTTCACTTTGTGGGAGATTGGAGCGATTCCCACTCGACGATGATTTTCTGTATCAGTGACTGGAGTTGCCACAGGTCCTACTTGGATAGCCTATTAGCCGACGAGGACAGCGGTTTGGGACATGTTTATCCGATAGTTGTTGTGAAGTTTTTGGATGTCTTTCCGGAAGAGTTGACAGAGCTTCCTCCTCTTCGGGAAGTTATCTTTTCCATCGACGTCATTCCTGGTACTGCGCTGATCTCTATGGCACCGTACCATATGGCACTGGCAGAATTGGATGAACTGAACGCTCAATTGGATGATTTGAAAGCTAAGGGCTTTATTCATCCTAATGTTTCACCTTGGGGAGCACCGGTTCTTTTTGCAAAGAAGAAGGATGGGTCTTTAAGACTTTGCATTGATTATCGCAAGTTGAACCATGTTATGATCAAGAACAGGTATCTTTTACCTAAAATTGATGACTTGTTTGATCAGTTGAAGAGAGCCACTTGTTTTTCAAATATTGATTTAAGATCGAGTTACTATCAGTTGAGGGTTGATGATGAGGATATATCCAAGACCACTTTTCGCACACGGTATGGCCATTATGAGTTTCTAGTGATGCTATTTGGCTTGACCAATGCTCCAACAGATTTTATGGACTTGATGAACCGTGTATTCAATGACCATCTTGGTTAGTTCGTTGTGGTTTTTGTCGATGACATTCTCATATACTCAGCTTCGGTAGAGGAACATGAGTATCATTTGAGGACAATATTACAGATCCTTAGGTATAATCAGTTGTACGCCAAGTTCGAGAAATGTAATTTTGGCTATCGAAAATGAAGTTCCTTAGACATGTTGTGTCTGGGGGTGGAATTGTAGTGGATCCGTCAAAGATTGAATCGGTGATGGATTGGGAACGTTCGAAGACAATGTTTGAGATTCGGAGTTTTTTTGGCCTAGTTGGCTATTACCGGAGATTTGTTTGGGATTTCTCTCGTTTAGTGGCACCTATGACTCGACTTACCCGCAAGGGGGTCAAGTTCGTATGGAATGAGGCATGTGAGTTTGCCTTTCAGGAGTTAAAGGTCAGATTGACATCGGCTCCCGTTTTGATCATTCCTAAACGTAGTTTAGGTTATGTGATCTTTTATAACGCTTCGCGGGAAAGTTTGGGTTGTGTCTTGATGCAAACAGAGCGGGTGGTTGCTTATGGGTCTCGACAGTTGAAGACTCACGAGTTAAACTATAAGATACATGATTTAGAGTTAGAAGTAGTTATCTTTGCCCTGAAGGGGTGGAGACACTATTTGTACGGGGAGAAGTTTGATGTTTTCTCCGACCACAAGAGTCTCAAGTATCTCTTCTCTCAGAAGGATTTGAACTTGAGACAGTGCAGATGGGTTGAGTTTATAGAGGACTATGACTTTGAGTTACAGTACCATCCGGGTAAGTCCAATGTAGTGGCTGATGCATTAAGTAGGAAGTCGCGGGGAACTCTTGCTAGCATTTCCATTCACAGATGGAGGATGCTAGAGGAGCTTGCAGATCTTGGTTTACAGTGTTATGAGGATGTTTCACTGGCTATTTTGTTTAGCCTTGTGGCTAAACCAGCACTTATTAGCAGAGTTATTGAGGCACAGTTGGAGGATGGGGAGATAAAGGCCATCCATGTTCAAATTTCAGGTAGCGAGAATGTAGAGGGTTGGAACTTACATTCAGACAGTGGTCTCAGGTATAAGGGGATGATGTTTGTTCCTTTGTCTTATCATGAAGACGTCGTTCGGGATTTTCACCACTCTCGGCTCACAGTCCATCTTGGTGGTACAAAGATGTATCACAATCTACGACAACAGTTTTGGTGGTAGGGCATGAAACGGGATGTTTCACAGTTTGTGGCTCGATACCTTACTTGTCAGCAAGTGAAGGCAGAGCATTAGCAACTGACAGGATTGTTGCAACCATTACCAGTAGCTCAGTGGAAATAGGAGCATATCACTATGGATTTTGTAACGGGACTTCCGAGGTCTCAGGCAGGGAATGATGCCGTTTGGGTTATAATTGACAGGTTGACTAAGACGGCTCACTTCTTGCCCATGGTAGTGACAGATAATGCAGAGAGACTGAGTGGACTGTATGTGAGACAGATTGTTAAGCTTTACGGGGTTCCTGTATCTATTGTTTTGGATAGGGATCCGTGGTTCACGTCTCATTTTTGGCAAAGTTTTTAGGAGACTCTTGATACGGGGCTTCATTATAGTACGGCATTCCATCCTCAGACTGATGGTCAGTTAGAATGTACCATCCAGATATTGGAGGATATGTTACAGGCTTATATCTTGGATTTCAGTGGTAGTTGGGAAGACTATTTGCTTACCAGACCAGTATTAGCGTAGCACCTTTTAAGGCGTTGTATGGCAGGCCATGCAGATCTCTAGTTTATTGGACCGAGGTCGGTGATACTGTTGCCTTGGGTCCCGACATTGTCATTGAGACTACAGAGAAAATCAAGTTGATTCGGCAGTGGTTGGTTACCGCACAGAGCAGACAACAGAGTTACGCTGACAAAAGGACACGATCTTTATCTTTTAAGGTAGGAAACCATGTATTTCTTAAGATTTCTTTACGGAAGGGACTTTTGAGATTTTGACAAACTGGCAAGTTGTCTCCTAGGTTCATTGGACCATTTAAGATTTTGAAACGCGTCGGTGAGGTTACTTATCGTTTAGCATTGCCGCCAGACCTGGATAGGGTTCACGACGTCTTTCATGTGTCTATGCTGAGGAAGTACGAGCCGGACCCATTGCATGTTTTGCGGTGCATTGATGTGGTTGTTGATGAGGACGTGACCTACGAGGAAGGTCCGGTCCAGATTCTTGATTCACAGGAGCAGGTCTTGCGGACCAAGACCATTCCATTAGTTAAGGTCTTGTGGAGACACCACGGCATTGAGGAGGCTACCTGAGAGCTAGAACAGGAGGTTCGCTCTCGGTATCCCTATTTGTTCTCTCTTTTAGGTACAACTTGATTTTGGGGACAAAATCCCTTTAAGGAGGGTAGGTTGTAATGACCCGGTCATTTTTCATCTTTTCTTTTTTCGGTAATTTCTTTTTTTTCGTCTCTTTCCCTATTTTGTCTTTTTCTTATTTATTATTTTTCCATGTATAACCTTATTTTTTGTGCTCGGATTTGATTCCGGCCTTGCATACACCCATGATATTTAAATTCCATGATATCTACATTTTTACTTTTGCATAAAAGCATGCTAAATGTTTACTTTTCTTGTAAAGGGCATGGATGCATAACTTTAAGTAATTTTCTTAACTTTTGGGGTGTTAGTGTAATTATTTTTCATCTTAGGGTGCATTTTGTAATTTAATCTGGAAGATATTTTCAAAAAAGACCTTTTTGCAATTTCTGAAAAAATGTGACAAGTGTCATATTCTCATGGTGCCACTTGTTGGCATTGGGGTGGGGAAACTTGGAGGCATAATCTCTTGACACATGGAGGGTGGAAATTCATCTATTTGTTGGCTTAGGATTGGACCACTTGTTGGCTTAGATGGTTGACAAGTGTAGGCTTAGGATTAAGCCTAGGAAGGAGCCTTGGATTTGTGACAAGTGTAGGCATGAAATTAAGTCTTGCAAGTGTGTGTGTGAGAAGTAGTGCAAGAACACCTAGTGAGTGCAGAATCCCACCATATTTAACTTAAGGTTTCCACTTTTTACTCCATTTTTATCTCTTTCCTCTCAAACCCTAACCTAGCCACCATTGAAGCAAAGCTTAGTTTAGAGCTTCAAGCTTCATTTTGGCCTCCTTCCACTCAACTTAGACTTAAAACTTTGGAATACTTTATCTTCCTCTCACTCTCCTCTACATAACCCTAGAAAGAAAAATTGAAATTCCTTTGCTTTCCTTGGTTTCAAGAGGAACAATCCTCTTATGAGGTCGGGAGTGTTCTAAATTATGTTTTTGATGTTTTATATGTTTTATAACTTGGTACAAATGAACTGCATGTCTTTAATCTAAATCTTTAAGTTGATAGTTAAGGGTACCTTGCATGAAATTAAGCTAATACATGATTTTTGGGAAGGCCATGACTTGATTTATAACTTATGTTAATTTAAAGTCATTTAGGGTTGTTTTGAAATATAAAGGAATTAATTAATTAATTTAATTAATTTATATTTATATATATTCTTATGACTTAAATCAAGTTTTGAAGTGATATAAGCAATGATCATGATAGGTTCTTGAACATATATTAAATTAAGCATGTTTGGATGAGAAATGAAATCTAGAGAAATTAATTGTTTTTGTTTAATGAATTTCTATCCTTGTTGTATCAAAGATTTGAGTATGTATTCTATGTAGATTACATGTTTAATCATGATTCTAGACTTGTACTATAATTGTGAGATTGTGTTCTTAATATTGAAGGACATTGTGATAAAGCGTGATAAGCGCCGAATATTATATATTCAAGCGCCCTAAATTGCATTAGTAAAGTCCGTTGTATGTTAATTTATGTAGATTATCTTCATTTCTATGTTTTTATGCATTTTCAGGTTCATTGGCCAAAATGGAACAAGAATAAGGCCTTGTGGAATCTTGAGCAACAAAAGGTGCCAATGCTGAATTCTGGCAGCAGTAGAACCTGGACTTTGCTTGTCATTTTGACCTTCCAAACTCAAGAACTGGACTTCCCTCATAACATGAAAGATTTAGAGCTCTGAATTATCTTTCTAAATCTTCAAACAGTTTGTCATTCGGAGCTCGGAGCAGAGAGTTATGGCCTTGTTACCAGAGGTGAGCAGAACTGCCTGGCAGCAATGAAATTCTGCCTTGATCTTCATTTTCGACCAACCATACTTGAGAATTGGATCTCTACTAAAACATGAAATATTTAGAGCTCTGAATTAGCTTTCTAAATCTTCAAACAGTTCATCATTCGGAGTTTGGAGCGCAAAGTTATGGCTGTTTAACCAAAGTAGGTCTGGGCGGAGCAAGTGAAGCATGGAGCTTTTTACACTAAATTCGAGTGCTCGAGGCCTTGCTTAGAGTGCTCGAATTTTGGGCAGAATGCCCTTCGGAAATGGCTCATTTTAGCCCACTTGCACCTTGGTTTCTTCAATTTGCTTTCCTCTTTAATGAAGTGGTTGGAGATGTTGGTTGGTGGCCTTTTGGGTGGTAGATAAGAGGGATATGAGCCACACAATAGGGGAGAGCTTCATTCTACAAGATTAGAGGAGAGAGAAGAGAGCAAAGAAAGGAGAGTTCTTGGAGCAAGAAAGAGGAGCTTGAAAATGGAAGGAGGATCCATGGTTCTTCTTCATTCTAAGGCTCCCATGTGTAACTAACTCCTCCTCTAGGGAGGTAATAGAACCCCTCATTGTAAGCATGCTTTATTTTTTATTCTAGTTTGGGAAAAATAATGTATTTTTGTGGTGATTCCATAATCTAGAACTCTTACTTGATGTAATGAATTGATTTTGATTTAATGATCATGTTGGACCTACTTTCTTGTCTTAGAATGTATGTTTTCATGGTTGTATGGTTTACATTTTCATGGTGACAATGAAGATGAGATTTTTGGAATGGTTTTAATGGCATGTTGTTGAGAGATTTGATAGGCCATAGCTTAGGTTCTTCCTTTAATGGCTTATTCTTAATTCTTAGCTTCATGTGCTCTTATCATGTGATTGATGGTTTGACAATTTCTAGCTTAGTGAACATGTCTTAAATTACACTTTAGTTTAGGTAATTGAGCATGTAAAATCTTTGATAAATTGTTCTTGCCTATTGATTCCATGAATCCTTTGAAGGTAATGTAGTAACCATGAGTAACTACTTATCATAGCCACATATTTATGTTATTTTTCCCCGAATGAATCATATTCTAGCATGTTTATATTGTAGGTGGTGAAGTTACTTCCCTAGTCTCTTTTACCGACATTTTATCTCTTTTAAATTCTTGCAAGTTCTATTTTATGCATTCTAAGTTCTAAGTCTAAGTGACAAACAACCAAAACCCTCTATAAACCCCTTATCATTCTAAGAACAATTCTAGACACTTAGGTTGCCATAGACTAGCGCAGTCCCAGTGGTTCGACTTACCCGACCAATAGCCCTATTTTACAATGATTCGTGCTATTGCGAAAGTTGATGTTTAGTTGATCAACCGATCAATTTTTGGCGCCGTTGCCGGGGACTTGCATACGGTTTAGCAACCAAAGTCTAGGGTTAATTTTAGTTTGATTGTTAATATTGTGTCTTGTGAATATTCCTTGTGTGTTTTGACCATCTTTGTGTTTTAAGTGTTGTAAGATTCTAGGGACTCGAAGCTTGCCGTGGGAATGCTAGCAAATTGTAAGTCTAGAGGACCCCAAGTAAGTCTCCTGACTTCTAGTTTCGAGTTGTGAATATTGTGCATGTGTTAAATTTAGTTTTAGTTTAGTTGTGAAGCCCTTGTTGAGGCTCTTATCCTGTTTAAATTTTGTGTTCAAGCATCGGTCCTTGTCGTGGCCATTTATTTCCTATCTTGTTGATAATTGAGGAGAAAGGGATCATTGTATGTGGAGTTGATGATAAAGAATTGTTGTGTTGATTGCTTTGTGTGTTGTTGAATTACTCCTAGATGGAGGATAATTATCTCCCAACTCAATTCTACACACCACATGCATTTTGTGCTTTTTGCTCTAGTAATTCACATCATACAAGAGATTGTCTTCCAACGAGACAATTCTCGGATTTTTATCTAGAGCAACCAAATGAAAATTTCTTTGAACCGGGTAGTAATCCATACTTCAATGGTTACAACTCGGGCTGGGGAGACCAACAAAACTTCTTGTGGCATGACATAGGAAATTCAACCCCACAATCTCATATGCAACCTTTTCAACCCAATGATCATTCTTTCCCGCCCTCTTCTCCTTTTCCACCGTTTCCATTGGATGAGCTAATTGTTGCTAACAAACAAATGATGGAGTCTATGCACACGCAAATGATGGACTCCAACAATCAACTATTGGCTTCCCTTGCTAGCATGCAATCCACAGTAGAGTCTATCAATCAAGTGGTACCATATCACCTGTCCCAAGTTAGTGCAATGATAGATGACCAAATATCTCAAATTCAACAAAGGATTAATGCTAAAAATCATGAAGAGGAGGAAACATTTTCATTTGAATTTATGGCCAATCCAAAAGAAAATTCTATGAATGATGAGATTACTCCTAGTAACTTTCATCATGAGAATGATCAAGTGGTCATCACATATGAAAATGATGAAATAGTGGTTGAAGATCAAATTGTTGCCACTCATAAAATGGAAGAATTTGTGGTTAAAAATGAGGAAAAAGATGATGAGATTGCATCCTTTAAAACTCCACCTCC